CCACCAATGCTTCGTGGAAGAACATGACCCCACTATCCAGGATTCCTACTGGAAGGAGGTGGCCCTAGACAATAGTGGCTACATTCTGAATGTGCTGGACACAGCAGGGCAGGATATCTACAGGGACTTGTGAGACCAGTGCTTAGCAGCTGGTGATGGTGTGCTGGGTGTCTTTGCTCTTGATGACCCCTCATCTCTGGACCAGCTGCAGCAGATATGGTCTACCTGGAGCCTGCAACAGAAGCAGCCCTGCCCCTGGTACATGTGGGCAATAAATGTGACCTAGTGACTGCTTCTGGAGATGCTCACACTGATGCAGCAATCATAACTCATAATTGGAGAGTCCCCTTCATCAAGACCTCAGCCAAGACAGGACAAGGTATAGAGGAAGCATTTGCTCTGCTTGTCCATGAGATTCAGAGGGCCCAGGAGTCTGTGGTTGAGTCAAGCATGGAGAAGACCCGACAACACAAAGCCATGTGTAGCTGTGGCTGCTCTGTAGCCTGAAGATCTTAGTCAAGCAAATTGACCCTTCTCTCATGTCATGTCAAGATGACAATTCCCTTGGCATGAGTCCCCTCCCCCACCAAATAATTGCCATGGACACCTTTTTATTCTCATTTGGTGAGGAGTTAGGTGGTAAAAATGGGGTTTCCAGCATTGGCCGATCTCTATGAAGCTCTATGAAAAATTGAAAAATGTTGTTCATACTGAAAAAAAAGAAACTGGATAAAGGACAGACTTTATCTTGAAAGCAAATTTCTATAGTTACAAAAGCTAAATGAAAAAAGATCTGGGTAAATGTGTCCTGCCTATGAGAACAATTATGTTTCTGGGTTTAGATATAAGTCTGAAAGAAAAGATTTGAGAAATCCTTGATGTGTTCCAAGAAGAATCCCTACTCTCTTCTGGAGCACATAGCCATAAAGCTCTTTTCAAGTTTTCAAAGTAATTTTTTCTATCATATCTACAATTTACCCTCAATCAATTTGCTGTTCCTGAGCCCTACCATGACTGCTCACTGTTTTCTAATTCATGATCTGTTTTCTACAACAACATTTACACTGTAACAATAGTTACTGTTTGAATGTGACATACATTTGGCAGCAGTATTTCCCATTAATGATGTCAAGGGTTGGTGACACTTTACATTGAGTGTATGACTGAATTGCACAGAGAGGACCCTGTGCTCTGCATGAGGAGCAGGATGTGTTCCAGGAAAGTGGAAGAATGTCTAATACAATACAAAATTTCTTGCCTAGGTGATTGTCTTCTGGGCGGGAAGAGCAGGCTGGAAGGCCTGTGCTATCTGGGTTATTTGATCTCTGATCACCTAGTAGGGAGCCTACTAATATTCTAGGCCCAGCTGGTTGGTCCAGCAATCAGGTGGCAGGTAGGTTGCAGTTTCCTTCCAGGATTCTCCTCTCCTTCTGCTCTAGGGAATTGTAAGGAAGAAATAAGCTATAATGTAGTGAATGTAGGTTGTTCAGAGCAGTTCTTCTGAGCTGTCATTTTTGCTGAGATTTGCATGGACCATGAGACAGACTGTGTTTCTTTTCGGCCTTGTGGTAACTGTGGCAGTTGTCCTTGTCTCCTGGGCCTCCCTGTGTATAGATTTCTTGGCTATAGTGAGAATCTGCAGTCCTGGCAATGGAGGATTTGATGCTTGTAATATCACTGTCCACTGTGCACACACAGGCACTTTGTTTGGTGTGCAGTGGGAACACTGATTGGAAAACTGACA